ACATTGTTTCCAAAACGTGCCCTCTTAAAGATGAGTGAACTCCACCACCAAAAATCCCCCAGCCAGCAGGGTGGGCTGGGAAATTCTGGGAGTTGAAGTCCACTCATCTTAAAGTGGCCAAGTTTGGAAAACACTGCCTCAGAAGGTTGAACACAGCTGTCTTGTACAACCAGGGAAGAAGCTGCCTTTTTTTTTTTTTTAACTAACGAATTCTACATACTTAGAAAGCTCTGAAAAGATGCATCAACGATTGTCTGTTTGACAGGTGCAGAAGGGAAATGGGGCTTGCAATCCATATGCTCCCCTTCCAGATTTTGTAGCACCAGAATAACTTTGGATGACATCAACAAGCCAGTTATTGACCGAATAATCAGAGTGGATCATGCAGGTGAATATGGGGCAAATCGCATTTATGCAGGTCAAATGGCTGTGTTAAGCCGAAGTTCAGTAGGACCAGTTATTCGTGTAAGTATCCCTAGCCCATGGATTTCATCTCCCTTGCTCTGATTCTTCTTCTATATTTTAAACTCGACTTTTAGCCAAAACAGATTTTTGTACAATCATTTTATACCAATGTTTCTCAACCTTACCAATGTTTAAGACACGTGGACTTCAATTCCCAGAATTCCCCAGCCAGCCATGCTGGCTGGGGAATTCTGGGAGTTGAAGTCTACGTGTCTTAAAAGTTGGTACGGTTGAGAAACACTGCTTTATACAGTTAATTATCTTGAATGATTTGTGGAGTAAACCATTGTTGGCTGGTGTCCTATATTACGTTAAACCATCATATGATTGATTTAGTTCTGGCGTAGACTGTTGCATGCATCTAACCATTGTTCCTGAAAGCATGGCTTATGGCTCAGAGCAGTGTATGAACTCAGCTCAGGTTGGCTTCCTCATGGTTTAGCAGAACTAGCATAATGCCATGCGTGACTCCAGATGGAGACCGTCTACGGCTCGAATGTTTCCGAACTATGGGAAAGCATCATCATTTTGTTTCTTCACCCAGCAAATGTGGGATCAGGAAAAGGACCATTTGAAAAAAATGAAGGAGTTGGTGATTTTGTACAGAGTCCGCCCGACCGTTTTGTTGCCCCTGTGGAACATTGCTGGGTTTATGTTAGGTGAGCATCCGTGCTTTTTTCTTCCTCATATATATCTGGGATGTATGCTCCAAGCACAACTGTGACGTTGTCGTGTTTATTCTAGGGGTGGGCACAGCTTTACTTGGGAAACAAGCTGCTATGGCCTGCACAGTAGCTGTAGAAGAAAGTATCGCTGTGCATTATAACAACCAGATCAGGACTCTCCTAGAAGAAGACCCAGAGAAGTACAAGGAGTTATTAGAGGTAACAGTGTGTTAACAGTTTACCGATATACAGTGGTACCTCGGTTCACGAACTTAATTCGTTCCGCGACTCTGGTCGTGAACCAAATTGGTCACGAACCGAATCAAATTTCCCCATAAGGTTCAATGTAAACATGGTTAATCTGTTCTGACCCCTA